TAAGACTAGAAAACCAAAGGCAGCCACACCTGACCGGGAGCACAGGGAGGCCCAGAGGAGAGGAAGACGGCTGAGGCCAGAAGCAAGGCAGGAACTGCCAGGTTCCCAGGCAGTTCACTTTATCTGCAGTGTTTTAATTTCAATGTCAAGAGCCTAACTCTACAGGACAGGCTGCTCTTAATGAGGCAGAAGGTAAAAACGGCTCACACATCACTGCACATGATGGGCACTGGCCCCAAGTGTTCTGAAGATCACTCAGGCCAACCTGTCACCTGACAGATGGGGAAACTGAGACCAAGGAGAAAGGGCTCATTGTGGGAGGCATCTCAGAACACTCTGGATTCTACTATTTCAAAAACAGCCACACTGCCTGACCCCTGCACTGTCCCCCAACAAGGTACAGCAGGCTGGCTGGCCTCCTCGGTGGGTGTGAGGACATTCCCCAGACAAACCCAGGCCCCAGTGCACAAAGGGAACCTGGGGCAGGGGAGCCAGCACCCCAGGGGCATCTCTGTGTCAGGGGAAAGGCCCCCCTTCCTGCTCATCGCTGCCCAGCACACCCAGTGATGCTGGATACGTCATGGCCAATAACCTAGATTTTAACCAAGAAATAACACACCCCTTTTCTCTGCCCCACTTACAGGCTTGTCGAAGACAAAAACCACGGCGAGAAAACCCTGACTGTAGCATCTGGAGCCAAACTGTATGGCAGGCTGGCAGGACACAGGGCCCTACTGTCCACCAGGCTTTCTCATCACCGACACTCCTACGGAGGCAAGAGACACTGTCATGTCACCCAAGGCACAAACGAGTCCCCGAGGGAACACAGCCCTGCATGTTCCCCAGTAGCACCCTGTGCCTCATCTGGGTACCAGGGGAGCTGGTGTGAGGGTCTCCCAAACGCACCCTGCAGACCTTTTCACAGCTACTGTCCCACTGGCTCCTAAGAACCCATCAAGATGGGTGGGCTGACCCTGTGTGTGAGGTGAGGGCTCTGGTCGAACCAGCACCAAGGAGCAGGTGTGTAAGATCAGTGGCAATGTCACCGTGCTCCCAGCAGTCCCTTGGGAGCCCAGTGCCCTTTTTGTCACTGTTCCAGGCATGCTGGGGCCCAAGGTCACAATGGACCAGCAGGGCCTATTCAGGGAGAACCCTGGGGAGACATTCAGAGACCGGAATCTGCTCCCTGCTCTGTGGTCCAGCATCCTGAGGGATTGTAGGGGTGCCCAGCCTGCCAGGGGTCTGCCCTAGGACTCGAAGGCTTGTGGTCCCTGGGTGGGTCCTGGGAGCCTCCTCCACCTCCCTGGGGGTGGCAGTCAGCAAGGTGAGGGGAGTGTGCACCGGGCAGAGTCCCCAAGGCCTGTGCCAAGGCAAGAGTGTCCACATCCAGGGTGTTCTCTGCCCTTTGGAAGGGTCAATTCAGCAGCTGGCACATTTCTCGGTCTCAAGAAAAGCAAGTTCCACCTGCTGCCACTAAGAGAAACCAAAGCCATTAAGGTCTGGAGGTCTGTGAACTCGGGGTCTGCGGTATTCGTGCAAACACGGGAATGAATGCTAAGTCAGGGGAGGAGTTGCAGGGAAAAGGGGGCCCCAGATCAGTTGGTGGAGGGCAGGAGTTGCTCCCGCGTTGGCCAAAGCAGAGGCCAAGATCCCTCTGTCCAGGCTGCAGCCACATGCTGCTGCAAAAGGACCTGGTTGTCCTGAAGGCCCAGTATCCCTGGCTACCTCTGCCCCCACAGGCACTGACCAGACCAGGAGAAGCAGAAGAGGGGCAGGGAGTGTCCTGCTGGGCCTCAAGGACATGGGGGGCGGGGCAAAGAGTCCTCACAGTGTCCTGGGGCCACCCGCCCACTGGTGGCACAGAGCCCAGCTCCAGGCCACTGTGCTCCGGCCCGCATGCAAACCAGCACAGGCAGCAGGCCCAGGCACATGGCTGAGTTGCAGGGGACGCCCTATCTTGGGCCCAACTGTAGGAAGCCCTGCCCAGCCAGTCCTGAACACTCTCCGGGGAGTGCACCCCAGTCTGCGGTAGCTGGCATCTCCAGTCAAGGCAAAAGGGAAAGCAGCCTCCCTTTTAAAAAGACCTTGGGAGCACTGCTAGGCATGGCAGGCCCTCTCCTGGCACTGGCCTGGACAATCTCCAGCCTCAGAGTCAGAGGGAAGGTAGAACCTTGAGGGGAAGAAGGTGGGCCCTCCAGGATGTGTGCAGTGCCAGGGACTGGCACAGACAAGGAAACTGAGGCCTTGAGCCCTTGGCAGATCTGGGGGCCACTGAAGCCCTTGATTCCTCGTCCACCTGGGAAGACAGCCACCTTCACCTGGGCTATGGTTTCCAGCAACTCTGCCATAGCCTCTCAGCCCATCCTGGATCAAATCTGAGCTTTGGCCATCCCCTGCAGGCTGAGTGGGGCTCACCCTGTGGCCCCAGCACACCCACCTTCCCACCCCTCCTCACAGCAGACAGCAGGAGCCACAGGAGTGCAAGGGCCCAGCCTGTTACCTGCGTAGCTGCCTGAGGCCTTGATGTACACCTGGCCATACTGCTCCTCCACCATGGTGTCATACGCTTCATCGTCCTCCTCGTCCTCCTCGTTGTGGTACGAGGTGGGGCTGTCGGTGGCAGGCAGGCTGCTGGCCCCCGGGCTGGCCCGCTCCCCCTGGGGGTAGGGAGCCTGCTGCATGCCAGGGATGAGGGTGGCCAGGCCAGGTACCCCATAGTAGGAGACACGAGGCAGTTTGAGAGGGGCCACACCTGCCGCCACCGCGGCCCCAGTGGCCACACCGTCCCGAGGGCCCGTCTCCAGCGGGCGCTTGGGGGCTAAGCCCAGGCCAGCAGCCGGTGGCAGCTCCACAGCTTCATGCTTGACACGGGCCAGCAGCGGGAGGGGCATGGATGGGGACGCCGCATAGGGGGTGGCAGCAGTGGGCTGCAGCTGGTTGCAGGGGCTCTGGGGCGCAGAGCTGGTTTCCTCAATCACGGCGGTCTGTGAGTCGCAGTGGGGCGAGCTCACCTTGAACATGAGGTCGGTGCCACGCTCGATGATGTGCTGGATCTGCAGGAAGCCGGCTGTGTACATGACCACGAGCTGCTCGCTGGCCGTCATGGTCAGCCTGCCCGTGTAGCAGAAGGACAGGATCTGCTGGAAGCAGGCAGGCGGCACAGATCCGGGCAGCTCGAAGGCGCTCTTGCTGTTGCCACTGAACAGGTCTCGGAAGTATAGGCTGCTGGCGGCCAGGACAGCCCGGTGGGCCTTGAAGGCCTGGCCCTTGACCACGATGGACACATCACAGTAGAGGCCCAGCAACCGCTGCTCATTAAGGCAGCCGAGCACAGTGTTCCCGAAGTTGGGAATCTCGATGTGCAGCGTCTGAGACATGGCGGGCTCTGGAGGGGGGGGGCCTCAGACTCTCAACGCGGGGCAGCCCGAATGGGGCACATCTGCGGAGGGAGTGGGGACACACAGTCAGTTCCCATCGGGCTGATGTCCCCATGCCCCTTCCCTGAAGGGACTGAGAAAGACGCCCCCCACCCCCGCCACATCCTCTCCAGCCCCTCTCAGCCAGGCCAGAACAACTCAGAGAAGGGTCCGGGTCTCGCAGTGCAGACCCCAGCCCCAGCTGCGGGACAAGCCAGCTCAAAGGGCTCTACAGCACAGACCTGGCTGCCCCTGAGTGAGCGTGTGCCCCATTCCACAGACGGCTGCTCTTAGAGACCTCCCAGGAGGGGGCTTCACACAGCCCTTCTCAGCATAGGCAAGGGACAGAGGCCTGAAGCCAGGCATAACAGGACAGAGTACCGAGGGGCAGCAACTGAACAGGAAAAGTTTGCAAATGCCGAGGAGCCCCGCAGCACTGCCCCCCAGGAGGGCCCCAAGCGGGGCTCCCTTCCAGACCTACTGCTTGGGGTTTGTTCTCCCCGTTTCCTGAGGGCAGGCGGCCTTGGGGGTACGAGAAGCCGTCCGCAGGTAGGGAAGGGGCTTGGCACCGGGAAGCGAACTGGAGCTGGGAGAACTCCGCCTCCTCCGCGCAGGGAGACCACGCGAGTGCGCCCCTCCGTCTCCCGAGTCCTCCTGGCCGGGACCCCTACACAGGTCCCAGAGGCTCCAGCCAGGGGCGCTGCCCTAGAGCAGGAGTTGGGAGCCAGTCTCGGCCCCACTCGCGGGCGCCCCCCTCTCAGCCCTGCTCGCGACTTGGCCGATCCCTCCTGGCTCGGTCCCAGCCCAGGTGACTCAAAGGGTCCCAGCCGTCGGCCGCAGCACCCCGGCGGGGGAGGCAGGGCGACCGCGCTGTTTATCTGTGCCCGTCTCTGCGCAGGGGAGCGGGGGTGCCAGGGAAGGCGCCGCCAACTCCGCAGGGCCGCACAAAGGGCCGCTGTGTCCCGCGGGAGGAAAGTGCGGCGGCCGCAGAGGCGCCCGGCGCCGGGAGGAGGGCGGAGCCACCCTGCGCCAGGAGTTGGGCAGGTGGGCGCTGCGAAGGGAGGCCCGCGGCCCGCTGCGGAGAAGTTGTCGGCCGGCCGCAGGCACCAGCCGGCGAGGACACCTACCTTCGCGGCGGCGGCCGGCAGCCCGACACTGCCCGCACAGCCCGGCAGGGCAGGCTCCCCGCACGCCCGCCCGCCTGCCCAGCTGCTCCGGGAATGCAGCAAATGGAGCGGGAGCCCTAGGGTGGGGAGGGCGCGAGGAGCCGGGGAGGAGGAGGGGGAGGAGAAGGAGGGCAGAGCAGGGCGCGGGCCGCCGCAGCTCAGCTGCACCCAGGCCGGCTCTCCCGGGCAGCGCACCGCATCTCAATGAAGCGGCCGGATGCAGACGAACATTCAGGCAGCTCCCGGGAATGAATAGCCGCCTTTGATTTGGGAGCCGAAGTAAATGCCAGCTCCCAGCCCCAGCTTTAAAAACAGTGGAGCTTCGGTGCCAGAGGAATGCGCGGCTCCGGGTGTTGGTACAAGACAGACTTTTGATGACTCACTGCAATGCAAACAAAGATGGCAGAAACACTGTACTGTACGCCGAGAAATGCTTGGCGGTGCCACGGCAACTGAGACAGCCTGGAAATTTATGGTGCAGTTTTGCATATGAATTACCCAGTAAACTGCCTCCTGGCCTTCCAGGACAGCCCCAGTGTCAAAGCATTTAAACTATTCCAAACAGTCTGCAGGGCTGGCAGGGAGCTTAACTCCTCCCGCAGGCAGGCTGTGGGTGAGGGGCTGGAGGGGGAAAGGGCAGAGGGTGGGACAGATAGGGGGGAACATGGCCAGGGGGCCCTGGAAAGGAGGCAGGAAGAGAGGCAACACTCCAGGTCACCATGCTGCTGCCCCTCCTGGGAGTCCCAGAGCAGCTGCCCCAGCCTCAGGCCCTGCCTGGCACTTTAAGAAAAGAGCAACTTTGTGGCTGGGCAACTAGGAGCCAGGAAGGACGAGCCCCAGCCCTGAGCTGTCCCTCCAAAGACGGCAGAGAAGGCGCCCACTCCTCCAGGCCCACTCTCGGCCGTGGGCAGTCCCACAGCCCACTTGCTCAGCTGGAATCTGGCTGTGCTCCTTGCCAAGGGGTCCACCGCACCTGACCTTTACTGAGCCATTCTCTTGGAGGGGGCAGGTGTACAGGGTTGGCGGCCAACCCCAGGCCTCCTCCCAAGGGCGAGCTCACTGTATGCTGCTGAACTGCATGGGTCCTGGAGGAACCACCCACTGGACTGCCCAGCCTCGGTTTCCCCATCTGATACCAACTGTGACCCCAGGAAGAGCATATCTACCCCAAAGATGGGAGCTGGGTCCCGGCTCAAACTGGCAGGTTTTCTCCCTCCGGCCTGAGAAGCTGCCACAGAGCAGGGGCCAGGTGGGAGGGAAGGTGACAGCACCCTGCCATTCACCCCAGTGTCCCCTCCCAGCCACCTGGCACCTCCCTATTTACACACCACAGGCTCACCTTCCAAAGACCAGACAGACCAATAGCCAGGGAACTGGCACAGGAGGAAACCAGGAGTGGGGAAGCCGCAGGCACGGGCCCTCCATTTTGATGACAGAAATGGCCCAAGCTCATCTGTGCTGAAGAGCTAGGGAGACCCAGGACTCAGCTCTGTCACCGCCCCCCCCAGCCATATCCTCCATCCTCAGGTCCATGCCTAGGTGCTACCACTTCTAGGAAGTCTGCCAGGAGCCCCCTGTGCCCTCAGGAAGGGCAGCGCCAGGTCTATCCAGCCCCTGGTGAGCAAGTAGGAGAACACTGGGCAGGGTGAATGAGGGCCACACGGTGAGAGGCCTGTGGTGCATGGTGACGCAGGGCATAGGAAAACTACCTCATTCAGGGGAGGTGGGGTCACCTGAGCCAGACAGGAGAATAATGATCCCTTCTCAGGCAGTAAGAAGTGTGGCTCAGCCTGGCCAGGGCAGGCAGAGGCCAGCCGTTGTACTCTGTGCACAGGCCCCAGAGGGTCCCAGCTGCACAGGGCTGGGCAGATCAGTGCCAGGTGCCACACAGGGAGCAAAGGACAGCACAGGCTCTTGAAGCTTCTCCCTCCCAACAGCAGGAGGGCCTGGCCTGTGGCTGCATTGACATCCCAGGTCCTGTGGGCACCAGTCACCTTCCATACTGACACTACAGCCTTGCAGGCCGATCTGAGAATCAGGGTCACAGCTACACTCAGATGGTCTTGAGGGCAGAATGAGGTGACATCTGTGAAGCTTACAGGCCAAGCCGGGCGCATGGTGGCTGGTGATGTCTGTTCCTCCTACGACCTGGCAGGAGGGCAGCTCTCCATGGGGTGTCTAGGTGGGCATCTCCGTCAGCTTCCAGCCCTCTCAGCCCATGCCTATACCTCAGGGCCTTAGACCGGTTGGCCCAGAGAAGGGACCATTATTCCCCTGGAAGGTGACAGGGCAGTCGTGGTCCCCAGGGATCAAGGACAACTGGTGCTTTTGCAGCCTTGTCCTCAGGCCACCTGTGCTGTGAGCCTGCCGCCCCCGCCCAGCCTGCCGAAAGCCGACAGGAGCCGGTTTTAGGTTGCTTTCTTCGAAGCCTCAAGAACAAAGCTGAACTTTAGACGAAAGAATAAAATACAGACCTGGCTTGCGCACCCAGGGCCCCAAGAGCAGAACCAAAGGTTGACCGCTGGGCCACAGCCAGGGCAGGCCTCATGGCCTCAGAGGCCCCATGGCTGCAGGCAGGGCTGTCCCCTAGGAGGGGAGAGACCCAGCCTGGGCTGGGACACCAGTGCCTTCTCACCCTGCCCTGCACACTGGCACTAGCCCTGCCACATCTCCTTTCCATGACTCAGTTTCCCCATCTTGCTTCCCAAACCAACACCTGGCCCTGGTCCCCCACAGTGAGGTATACACACCCACCTGCTCACGAAGGGTTCTGAGGAGCCAGGCAGGAGGCTCCCTTACAGTGCCCTCCAAATGGAACCCACTTTGGGAAACCTCTGTGGGTGACTGAAAGCCCAAGTCTAGTCCCTGCAGCTGTGCCAGCCCTGGGGAAGCTCCACCCACAGAGACACGCCCACCTGAGGGCCTCTGGGTGGGGCAGCCAAATGCCAAGCCCCACCTGCCCTGGAGTCCCCGGTCCAGATGTCCTGCTGGGCCAGCAGGTGGGTGAAGGGAGGAGCCCTTAGATGAACACACAGGTGGGGTGGAAGAACTGCCACAACCTGAGCATGGTCCCCAAGCAAGACTCGTGGGAGGACACGGTTCCCAGGTTGGGTCCGGTTGTACTCTGAGGGCGTCGCTCGGCCAAGGCAGCTGTCCTACTTCAAGGAGGGGCCCCTTTCCCAGACCTCAGACGCAGTCACAGCTCCATGGCCTAGGGGTCCTGTCCACAGTACTTGGAACCCCCCACCCCCGCATGGGTGGGGCAGTTCCTGAGGCGAGGCCACGGTTAGCTGGGAAATGCAGCGTTTAATTTCTGCAGGGTCACTGCCAGCACAGAAAAGGGAGGCGAGATAAATTAAATTAAATTATTTTGCAGGATTTAATTTTACCAATCTAATAAGAGGTTTTGGACCTCAGGAAATGCACAGCCTTTAACCACACAGGAGAGGAGGAGGACAGCACATGGGGACATTTTTCAGGGAAAGGAAAACCGGGTTCCACCCACAGACCCTCGCTCCAGTCTCACTGCCAGGCCAGCTGAGCGCAGCCCCGTCCCCTCCAAGAGGAGACCCCAGCAACAACTGAGGACAGCTCCTGAAAGGTCAATCCAAGGTGTTGGCCCCCAGGACAGTGAGAGTATGGGACAGGTCTGCGGCATATGAGAGCAACTCGGGGAACAGGAGGACAGCTAGGTGCTGCCTCAGAGCAACGGCCTTCCCTCTCCAGTCTACTTTCACCCTATCCTTAAGGGGACATAGCCCTGCCTTACAGGGTGGAGGCTGCCCAGCTCAGGGTGTGCCTAGGCCCCCAGGGAGCTGGGCGAGGCCTCCATCTGCCCCCCAGGTTTGCATTAAACT